GATTTTCATTATGATAAACTAATAAGTGGATTTGTACAGTTAAACAATAATACAAAGCTACCAATTTCAACAAACCATAAAGATTTAGAGCCTTTATTGTTTCCATATTTATTTTTAAATGGTAAAGGTCATTATTATGATTTAATTAAGGAAGGCAATAATAATCATTTAACATTTGGTAAATATGCAAAACACATGATTCTTTTTTTTGATCCAAGATTTCGCTTAGATCACTATTGGCCTGCACACACATATTTACAGCTTGAAAAATTAAGAAATCACCAAAATACAAGAAGAATTTTACGACAAAAAGAAATAGAAGGAAATTCAAGACCAGATGATATCAATTTAATCTCATATAGTCAATACAATGGAGCCCCAAAGATAAATGAAGAAATAACAATACCCCTACCAACTTTTATAAGAACAGGAGATTCTTATTTTCATGAGAAGGAACTTCATTTAAATACAATGCTCAGGAGTTTTGGATTGCCAAATTTATTTATAACACTATCAATGGCAGAAAGTAGATGGACCCATCTTACAGATATATTAAGAAGTACAGACAATAGAGATACAGTTCCAACAAACAGACCATTTCATTGTACTCTTCATTTTACACATAGATTTCGTTCCCTGAAAAAGGAAATTTGGAAAAATTCTAAAATAAGTAATTTAGGAAAAATTGAACATTTTTTTGATAGAGTAGAGTTTCAGAACAGAGGTGCTGCCCATATTCACTGTGTCTATTGGACCAACAAGAATATAAATGAAATGATAAATGAAGATGCAATACAGGCTGATGTTCCAGATCCTTCAATAGAACCAGAGTTATACCAAAAAGTAATCATGCATCAGATTCATTCCTGTGATGTTAGGAAGTGTGGAGGACCAGCTCCTGATGGTGAAACATGTAAGAAAGGATTTCCAAGACCATTCTCACCTTATACTTATGTAGATCCAAATAGTTGCAGATATATTTATAAATGTCTAAAACATCAGGATAGATGGGTAGTGCCTTATCATCCAGCAACATTGCTCATATGGGATGCTCATATGAATATTCAATATGTTACATCCAAAGGATTTGCACGTTATATGACAAAGTATCTTGCAAAAACAGAACCATCACATTTATTCAACATAAAAGATGGTGACAAATTTCGTGAACATGTGGTTGCAAGACGTTTGAGTGGTATGGAATTGTTTTTTCTGTTATTGGGAGAAACAATATGTGAATCATCAGATCAAATAAAGTTTCTTATTACTGATCCACAAAAAATTAGAAGCAAGACAGTTCTTCCTATCAATATGATAAATGAAGATGAAGATGATCTTTATTTTAAAGACACTATTGAAAAATATATGATGAGACCTTTAGATCCTGTTTTTAATGATATTACATATCCAGCATATTTTGAAAATTATATTGTACAAAATTCTAGACCTAAAAGTAAAAAGAATGAAATATATCAAGATCAATTTAATAATTATATAACAAAACGAGGTAAAAATATAATCGTAAGATTTAGGTTTTTAAAGATTACAGATGGTGAACCTTTCTTCTATCAACAATTACTTAAAAATATTCCAACAAGAAGTGAAGAAGAATTGTTGGGTCAATTTAAGACATATCGAGAAAAATTTTTATCTCTCTTCCCAGATTTTGCAATGGAGATTAAAAATTCCAATAACTCCAAATACTTGGATATCAGACAACAGCTCTTAATGCATTATTCTGAACACATTGAAAATCTATTATCATCATTGAGTGAATTGATAAATATAGATATTCAATATACAAATGAGTAATTTAATAAAATTACCTAATATATATCCTGAGTCAAATATACTACATTTACCAAAAGACCAATATTATGCAATATCAACAATTGCAAATCATATGGGAAGATGTGATAAAACTCATTGGCCTTATTTTTTTATCACTGGTAGTGCTGGTACAGGGAAAACATATTTAATAAATATTATAATAAATATGTTGAAATCAAAAAAATCCAAATACTTACTAATGGCTCCAACTGGTGTAGCAGCTAACAATGTGAATGGTATGACAATTCATTCTCAGCTTCGTATCTTGTCAACAGCAAATGGCTATAAAACCCTAGCACAACATGATAAGAATTTTGAAGATGAATTAAAATTAGTAGATACAATAATTGTTGAAGAAATATCAATGGTTTCTTCAACTTTGTTTTCATTTATCTCTGACATTTTTGCTAGGATTCACCAAAACTCAGTTGCATTTGGTGGCATCAATGTTATTGTGGTTGGTGATCTAGCTCAACTACCACCTGTCAAGGGATCACCAGTATATAAATCATCAGTATGGAAGCTATTTAAGCCATTGTTTTTAACAGAACCAAGAAGACATGAAGGCACTTCTGAATTTTACAAAATTCTACAGGAGATTCGTTTTGGAAAAATTTCTGACCAAACATGGAATAAATTAAAAGAAAAAAATTTACAATATAATAATTCAGAAAACCCCATTGAAAAAATATTAAACACAACAAACATTGTAGGTTTTAGAGAAACAGCTGAGAGAATAAATAATTTGATTTGTAAAATGTTGCCTACAAAAGATGATAAATTTTTAATTTCAAAATCAATGGATTATATAAATGATGAAAGATGGGACTCTAAATTAGCACAAAAGAGTTTTAAATCACACACAAACCTACCCCCCTCTGTAAGATTGCAACAAGGTGCTCGAGTAATGTATTTAAATAATAGTTTGATTGATATTGGAATATGTAATGGAACAATTGGTGTAGTATTGGATCTAAATTTAGAAGAAATGTCTGTACGAGTTGCTTTTTGTACCCATGAAAAAATTGTAGATATTAAAGTAAAAAAACAAGTAAATTATTTTTTCGTTAATGGAAACTATGCAAGTCGTACTCAATTTCCTTTGCAAAATTGTTTTGCAATGACAGTTCATAAAACACAGGGATTAACATTAGATAATATTTCAATAAATCTAGATGATCAAATGTTTGCACCTGGCCAAGCTTATGTTGCTCTGAGTCGTTCTCCTTCATGGAATAACATTTGCATTCCCACTCTTTTAAAATCTGCATTCATGGTAGATCAGGAAATGGTTAAAGAATATCAACGTCTTGAAAATTTAGCTGTATAATAATTATATTCACAAAATTTACTTTCACATGTATAAATAAATCATCATTTTATAATTTACATGAATTAGATACAGTATCTTACCAACAATAAATTTATGATTATGTAGATCAGAATAAATTGACTATACTAATACTAATGAATTAGCAAATAATTTTTTAGTGATTTACAAAGAAATGTTTTATTTAGTTGAAAACTAATTTATTATTAATTTATTTCAAGTTAATAGTTATTAAA